TAGTGAAACAATCATAAAATCACTTAAATCAGCTTAATTTGCGCACGCACACAGTGACGTCACAAAGTTGGGAGGGGCATACGAACTTTCCAATCATTGATATAAAATAAAGAGGAGATGCTATGACGATACTAAAAGTGTACTCACAGTTTTACGTCATATGTCAAACTCGAGCAAGTGGAGTTGGTCAGTTTTAGTGAGAATAAATACAATTTTTTTTAAATGATATAAAAACATTTTCATTCAGTCAATCTTCAAATATAAAATTATTAACGTCAAATTAATCAAAATACGACTCAAAGTACGTTCACTTGTCATATCGCAAAATAGTGTTTATTTCCTTTACATTATTTTATCCGGATGTTTCCAATCAAGCTATCAAACTCTAAAATTCACCATAAGTCAATTTTAATTGTTTATTTAAAAATCATGTTTAAATAAAACTGCGAATTTAATAAATCGGAAGTATTGTGTGTCAATTCAATGATTGTTAACGAAACACCAAGCTCCAGGTAAAATATTTACTATTATTTTTGAGGTTATGTTTATATTTTGTTTTGTTCCAGTTTCTACAAAATAGTCATGTGTTTTATACCCAACTTTAAAACAGAAAACTGCGTAAATGGAAACAATGTAATTGGTACTCTTTTATAGGAAAACCATCAAAATTAAGGGATGACTGAGTTCCATCAAGAAATAGGCTCTTATAGCAATGGTATAAACTACCTAACTTTAAACAGATCTTAGATTGCAGTTGCCAGCCAAGAAAAATCATTGTACATTGTACCAGAAGGCATTTCACAAGTATGACAATTTTATTATATATTTTATTCAAACAAGAATAATTTATTGATCCTAGTACAATTTTGTATGACTAACTGTTTTATTTTGTAGGTTGTCCCTAATGAATTTGAAGTTATAGAAATATATCATACCTATAAATGCTAGAGGTACTGATAAAAACAGTGTCAGACTGATGTAGTGGTGAGGATTTAACTCGAATAATGGTGTCGCATGCATTTACAAAAAAATGGAAGCTAAACTTACATTATAGTTTTTTTTAAAGATGATATAAAAAATAAATATTGCACTTGGCTAAATTAATTCAAGACACTAAATAGTTGTGTCTATATTAGGTGTGTACCTATCTCATGAAGACTTAATTAAATTAAATCAACATGATATTTTTAGTAAAAATCAAGCTTTATAAGGTGATAAGGCCTATTAATTTTGAACAAAATTTGAATAAAAGTGGGAGGTTTAAGGGAGGTTGAAATATTTAAAAAAAATTCTAACTCAAAAACAAACAATATTAAATTGAATTTTTTTGAAAAAATCAAGCTCAATAAGGGGATGAAGCCTACCGATTCTGAAAAAAATCTGATTAAAAATGGGAGTTAAACATTTAAACTACAATATAGGTAGATATCACTCACATGAAAAAAGGTACATATGCATCTTCATCCCTCTATTTGTGAAATGTTTTTTCATTTTAATGAATTAATACAGTAATAATTCAACTGTTCATAATGCTTTTTGATGAGAACATAAAGTTGATATTGATAATATTTGTAACTTTTTAACACTATAAAGACTGCTGGAACAGGATAGAAAAAATAAGTCGGTTAATGTGATTAGTAAATTTTCATCGGACATAATCATTTTAAAAATAATATAAATAATCAACTCTGTTAAGCAATAATAATTAAAGTGAGAAAATATAAAAAAGTATTATAAATATAAATGAGTTTTGCCTAGTAACTGAGATATCTATTGCACCTATTAAGATGATTCATTTTGTAAACAATAATCATTATTAAATAATTCTTTGAATCCCAATTTCCTACTATTACTCCCAAACATTTGTATTATGTAAACCTGTTATTACCCCCCATGCCAATGTATAATTCGTTTGGTATCAGATCCAATAAGCATTAATTTTTGTATGTTTGTTTTTAATAAATTCAAACATTCCAAATTATTATTAATAGTTGTACACCCTAATTTGTATTTAAAACTAATTGTTGCTTAGAGAGAGGCACCTCTTGGGGACATTAACAAATACTTAAGTACAGCAGGCTGGTTTAAGAGGCTAGAGAGGCGCATCAGGGCATTGTTATCAATTATATAATTATAGAAACATAGAACTAGGTGCAAGATTAGAAATGCATCTGTCAGCAATGTTACCAACTACCTACTTTAAAAGAATATAATATTGGTTGAAGAGCCTATAGGAAGGCACATCAGGGCTTAATAATGGAACTTTTTCAGATTCATAAAACTATTTTGAAACTTCAAATAAATTTTCAAAACATGAAATACTTCTTGGAAATGTAACAAAAATGGGAAATAGATACAAAACTATTATATTTAAGGACACCTTATGTAGTACAAAATATAGGTACACGTAACCAAAAAGTGCTAGTCACTTAAGTTACCATTTAGGAATGCGAGACCGATGCAAGCGACAGGCAGCAAATACTGCTGTATAAAGTACTGTTGCAGGTCTTGCATCAGTTGAGATGTCCCAAATGTGCTTCATTTAATTACATGTGATCACACTTAGAGACCGTTTTCGGCCGCCTTACGTGGTCGCTTGCCTCTGTCTCCTGTCTCAGTCTTGCATTTCCAAATGGTACCTTAAAATTTAAAAACAAAAAAATGGTTTTACAACAAAAGCTTTTGTTTTGTATTAAGGAAGACTATGAGCAATTTTCTTAGGTACATAGCCTTTAGATTACGAACGTTTTATGATTATACTACAATGGAGCAGTTTTTAAAGATACTCTTTGGAAACCAGAAGGAAACATAGAAACCTGATCTTACTTTTTAATATTGTTAATGGAAAATATGATTGTCCTGAAATTCTATCAAAAATTAATCTTTTTGTTCCTACTCGTAATATCAGGTAATCACAAATATTTTATATTCCTTTTTACAGACTTGATAGTACTTTTATCAGTTGTATTCCTCAGATACTTAGATTGGCAAACTTTCTGGATAACAAAATTCAACTTAATCCATATAATTATGACTTATCTGTGATTTTAAACAGTGGGCAGTTGTAATTTGTGTTGATTTTAAGAATTTTACCTGTGTGGGGTTTTTGTGGAACATAACAATGGGCTACCCTCATTTTAATCCCTTTTAAGACTCTGATGAGCCCACAGTTGGGTAATTTATAGGCCTTAAAAAATATTTGTTATATACCTTGTTAATTCACTCAAACAGATAACTCTACCATTTACATAAAAATTGCAAATAACTCAAAAAACATTTTGTAAAGTACCTACATACCGAAATAATACATATTCAAAAAAATATATTTTTAAATGATTTTATGTACCCCATAAATAATAACATAGGCACCTTCCTGATCTGACAAATTTGTTACTCCCTGTCGATTGCGATTCTACTATAGTAAGATTTGAGTCTCAAGCAGTCTTCTCTGATAGCATCAATAATGGCAAGAAATAGTAATATTCAAATATGGCTACCCTCACTCCAAATTACCTTAAAGTATTTTTTTTTTGATAGGTCACCTTCTTCTGCTTATGATACATCTAACATTTTCTTTTATATGTGATTGCTTTTATGAGTATTATGAACCTATTATGTCTTCTTAAGAGCAAACTGAACACCTCTAAAACTTATAATTCATTTTGAGCCTTTATTTTTTGTCCAATTTTTGTGAAATTTTCAGGAACTACCAATAATAACAAAAATTAGGGTGGAGAAACCTCGAATTTTTTGTAATCTATGAAAATTTGCTGCTTTTTAGTTTTTAAGTGGGATGATTTCTCACCTTTTTTTTCTTAAACGTCTCTGTAGAGTACTGCCTTATCATTGCATAAATTTAAAGCTCTCAATATTGTCAAGGGAGACATAATATCATAAAGTATTCCTGGTGGCATGCATATAAATACAATTTTATATTAGAAAATCCTTAAAAAAAATTTCTTTCGCCAGAGGTCTGGTTTGCTCAAAATATTTTACTTCAATTATGTGTAATAAAACTTGTATTTTTTACAGTTCATTTATAAAATTTGTCACTTGTATCTCATTGGTGTCAATATTTATTTTGTCTATTCTATACTGATTTTATTTATATTACATATAAGTTTGTCAAAGTTGTGTAATTAACAAAAATAAAAATGTTTCATGAATAAAAAATAAGGATCCTCACTTTGCTAAAGTTAAAGAAACTCCTGATACTGTTGGGAATACTGTATATATTAAGAGCATCAGTTAATTGTAAAAATGAGTGGGTTTAATAAGAAAAAGCTGATTGTCTATTTAAGTATTAGTCAATAAAGAGTTTTAATAATCACAGGTAACAATTTTCGGAGACACCCGGTAGGATTTGGCCATTGAACAAAGGCAGAAGATACAGGTTCGACGACCCCAAAAATGACCGCAAGTAAAGCTAAATCAACGCCAAAGTTGCAGACGACATACCTATCTAACTGTCTAGTCAAGGTCCTTTGTATGCCAAGATCTGAGCAATTTGTGACCTCTGGAGAATAAGAACAATACCTTTGTCTCCGATGACCACTAATAAACTTATGTAGATTTGTAGATGACGTTTGCAGCAAAATGTTAGCGTCTACAAATATTAAAGACCTACCATGTTTAAACCAACACAAAAGCGTTAAAAACATACTTTGACTATTAGATATTAGTATAAAAAAGTCCAACCAATAAATATCCCTTTTATTGAGAAATAATTGTTTGGATAAAGATGTTTATACAATAAAATATTGAACAAAGCTTCTAAACCACACTTGCATTACTTTCGAAATATGAAAATAATTTCTAATTTAATATAAGTTCTCCTTATATTCAATAACTAAACAAAAATAAACCACAAACGAATTTTGGAAGAATAGACATGACGCATAATGGATTTGTAAAAAATGCATGGTGCAGACGTTCTTTATCTTTACTTATTAAATATTTAAAGTTGTGTATTAATGAAAGAAGTAAAAATATTGACTTACCCCTAGAAGTAAAGTGTTTGCGAGTTTAAAGAAATAATCAGTAATACGAGTGCACGAAAAAACTATGCAAAAATGTATTAGAAAAGTCACTTACTCGCTGTTGTTTGTAAAGGGCACTGACAGCGACAGCGCGACACTAGCGACAGCGACAGCAAGACGTGGACGATCGTTGGTAGCTCGGGTAGGATCGGCCAACTACATTGGTCGTTGATGGTCTAAAAATCGATTCATATAATTATTTTTTAAATTATTTGGGACCATTCAAATGAGTAATAACACAAGAAAACTACTAACAGAAAATGAAATTTTTATATTGCACAGAAATGTTGTATAAATTCCTATAACAAATTTGAAAATAATGAACTCTAATAAAGTGTCTACCAACATACAAACGCGAAAATTACCAAAACCCATTTCCGATTTAAGATTTCAAACTTATATTTTTTTATATATTTAATGATTTTAGATTCTCATGTATTATTCGTTTTCCTTTAAGCATAGTTTTTTTTGTTCACAAAAATTCTTAGATTGCGTTGACGAAAAATAATAACTAGTTCAAAATCTAAAAATTATAAATTATACAAACTTACGGCAGGCATCGTAGCGCCCTCTAGTTACAAAAAGAACAACTAAATTAATATAGCATTTCAACAAACTTCTAAAATCTCTCGTACCTATACAGAATTGAATAACTGATTATGGTGGCTTGTAAGAGATGGCGAAAGAAACGGAAGTATTTTGTGTTGCCTGAATTTAGGGTGTGTTCATGATATTCCTGCAAATAATTATTGTCGGGTGTCTGTGCTCGGCTACATCCGTTGCAGCAATCGATCGGTTCCTGCTGAGATACTGTCAGAAACGAGACACAAATACCGGATCAGACAGCAAAAATTGGTTAAACAGTTTCTTGGTCTCGCGATATAAAGTGCGGTCGAGCCAAGTGTAAAAAAGCGGTGCGCGTGGTGTTTTGATTTAAATCTCAGTAAAAAAATATAATTTTCTTTAGGAAGTTTTTCCTCTGTGCCATATAAAATGAGAAAATGACATCGACTACCACGACCATTAGAAAATCTTATGGAAATAGACGTTTGTATGCTTTTCCAGAAGACTACCCTTTTAGATTTCAAAAACAAAAAAGTGCTAGTGTGCCGAAAAAGAACGAAGATGTGCCTAAGTTGATAAAGTACATCGATGATAACATCGTTGGAAAAAATTATGCCTTTTTGGGTCCTTTTGGCAGGCGAAAAGGTTGGTCAGCAAATTAATATTTTATAATAAAAATACTTTTTTAATATACAAATAATTAATAAGTAATCCTCTTTTAAAAATATACATATTCTTTAAAATCTTCTTTTTCAGCAATTTTTTTAAAAATATTGGGTGACATCATTTTTAACTAAGTTGGTACCTACTTACCTAGGAATCAGAAAAAATAATTTTATGTGTAAAACTGTTCTGAATTAAGTAGATATTTACCTAAATACATAGTTCACTTTTTTACCTTTCTGTGTAATCTGCTAGTACCTAGGTTTGTTATACTATATCCATAATTTATACTCAAACTCTTAACAATAAAAACATACATATGTAAATATCAAAACCAATCAAAACGTTTATTCAGTTTAGTCCCAAGGTTTGTCAAATTCAATACAATCAGCTGTTAGGTGTTAGGTACTGGTTTTTTGATAAATTGCAAATTAATATTGAATTTCTCAAGTAGATCCGATATGATATATTTCTATAATTATTAAGAACCATCCTGTTCATTCTGTCTCATTTCCTAGATCCATCTCTGGTAATAATACACTGGCTCTGTTTTTATATCACGCGCCAGCAGTATGTTCAGAAAAACATTGGTAAGCTAATTTACCCAAACATAACACCATAAAGACCACAAAACCAGATATTTACAAAATACTTTCTCATATGATTAGGAAGTATTTTATTTCATTTTATGTGTGTGACCTTGATGCGTGTCATGATTTTTATCTCAAACAAATAATTCTACTTAGCAAGTAAATATACCTACCTACTACACATCTAGCATGTAGATATTCATTTCAGTATTCATATTCTGGGTTACTCAGCCATTTGTTAGTTTAAGTACCTACCGAGGTACCTACTTACCTATATTCTATAGTGTAATGCTTATACCTCGGCTTATACAGAACATATCTATTTTGATATACAAGGTGATTTTTAAAAAGATTCCCACCTATATCAGAATATAAAAATAAAATAAAATTAATAAAAAATCCAAAACACGTAATTTTTTAGAAGATTGGGATATAGGTACTTCTATCATATCCTGATACATACGTTATTCCCCTTCCCTCTGTCACTCAATCCAATACAAATACATAAAATCATAAGTGTTATATATGGTTGAACTCGTATTGAATAGGAGATTCCAATAATGAATGAATATACAGGGTGATGAATTTGAAAAACCAAAGTGACTAATAATTTAAGAGAAACGGCAAATCTGGCAACATTGAAAATATCAAATCTGGAATCACCGTATCCCAAAATAGGTGTACCCCAAATTTTGTACAATTAGGACTAGCAATTTACGAGATAATTGACCGTTTCCAGACTTTTGGGCCACTCTGTATATCCTCCTCCTTTTTTTTTGTCCTTGTTTAACTGAGGCCTTTTTTTTAGAAGCTCGAAATTTTTTATGCTTGTGTAGTAAATGCATATATGTAACAAAATGTGTTATGTAAAATCAGGCTTAATATGTAAAGAAATGGCTTGTGAAAAGTCAGGCTTTTTTTGTGCAATTGTACTTTTACACATTTTCCATATGGCAACCCTAATTTGTAACCGACTTTGTAGCTTTATTTGAATTTTTCACTGTCCTGAGAGCTTCTTTGCTTGGGCTATGAGTGTCGCAGTTTTTACCTAATTCCACGGAACGTCAATGTGAAGTTTGTCAAAACAACGACGAAATCGTTTTCTTGGTTCAAATATTAATTTTGTAAAAACATAAAAGTAACGTTAGATTACACTTTAAAGTTCTGTTTATATTATTAAATAATCTTTTCAAATGCCACGTGAGGTGAGATTTTTTTTAGAACATTCTCACCTCTTGTGGCATTACTTATTTTTGATTGTTTAACACTATAATACATCAGCCAATGACGATGATCTTTTGTTCCAACACAAGCCAATCAAACAAAACTATTATAAATTGGTACTATATTAAAGGAAAAAGGAATATTAAAACAACATACGCCAGTACTATTTTGTCACAAATATTTATATTATTTACATTATTAATTAACATACTAATAATTGCTATATCTATGTCGTTTAAAAATTATGAATTTTTATTTAATTTTTCCTATAATTAGGTTGCTGTACGTGAATTCAGATAAGCAATTTTCCTTGTCTGCTTACTTAAAATACGCACTTATTACTAAATAAGGCAACAATAGTAGTTTGTGCAACAAGAGTGGATATGGACAATTCACTCGAGTATATTTTTTCTACGGCCCACTAAGCAACATTTACAAATTTTAAAAATTATTTTAGGTTATTAAGATAAAATAACTAATTTAAAAATAATTTATGACTTTTACTAATTTTTGAAATAAAATAAACAAGAAAAAAAGAAAAAAGATTTAATTTAATTTGTATTTAAGTAATTTGAACCCGGGCTTTTCGCATAAAAGCCAAGTGCCCTGATCTCAACACCATGGACGCGCTTAATGTTTTTGCTTTAATGCTCGTAATTAAATTGACTTTATTATAGTTTTATAAAAATTAACGAAATAAAAATAGAAATGCTATCATTTATCGATCCTACACAATTAAAAATCTTTTTAATGTATAATCTCAATAACTAAGAAATATACTGAGAATTAGTTTGACAGAATTTCCACATATTTAACATTTTAAAAATAATAGTAGTCGCATGTTCAAAATATGAACTGTGATTGGTGAATTTAATTTTTTTGCCGTATTCTCACTACCTAGAATGGATATGAAATATATTCGTTTAGTTGAACGCAATAGCATACTTTTTCGTTTTGTAGTTTGTTCGTAGATAATCTAATATCCATGTGGGTGTAGACAAAATTATTTTAATTCATTTTACATGTAAAGTAACACTGGTTGCAAGATTCATGTTTCATTTTGGTATCTGTCAAATCATTTAGTCTTATTTGAGCTGATACATCATTTAAATGTGTTGCATGCGGAAGTTGTTGCTCTTGGTATGGCAAAAAATAGTAACGTAGAGAAGGGTGATGACAGATGATATGTTGACGGATTTTTGTCTGTTGTATAGTACTTACATATAAGATATTCAGGGTAGCCCGTTTTTTAATAATCACTCTGTATAATTTATACCCAAAACTCCTTTAAAATAGCTCTATGACCAATTCACACCTCATTTGAAAGTTCTTTTTCCCTTCACATCCTTGTGAAACTTTTCAAAATTGTTGGTTTATTGAATTGACGAAAGTATTGTTCAAAATGCACTTAATCAATCTTCATTATAAAGAGCAATATATGGAAAAAATAGCTTTAAAATTATGTGTTTACTCGTTGCCATTAAAAAAATAGGGGTTGATCCCATGGGCATAGCACACAAAATCGAGGTCCTTAGAAATTACAAAAAATATTTTTCAAAATTTTACCATCAATATTGCCATCTAAAATGTCCCAATGTAGAAGATACTTGCTAGTTAGTAAAATGTTCATAAAAACATGTAATTACATAACTAAACTAAATTTAAATGAAATTAGCATTCAAATGATCACACTCTTGTTTAATTAAGTATGTACTTTATTAAGGTTGTCAATTATATAATCAAATTCACAATTTGATGAAAATTGAGTTAAATGTCGACATGCTTTCTTCATTTCCACCACGATTTCGTATACGCGTGACTGTGTATTCAGGAAGAATATTTTACCTTAGACGGAAGTGAATTAAAATCAGTTTTTCATTGAAAACAAAAGGAAACATTGTTACTTGAATAGTAATATGTGTACCCATTTTGTTTATTAAAAAAACAAATGATTATTAATTAGGATTGTTTATTTTTACAAAAATATGGTAAGTATAGGTAAGATACTGCTACATTAAATGTATGTACTAATACTTGTGAGTTACTTAAAATAGATCAAGTTGTTT